GCACAAGTTGCATTCCTTTAGTTGTTCATGCCAATATGATCAAGTTTTGAAAACAAGGTCAATCAACTACTATAGATAGACTACTTTGCTAATTTATAGTACTTCATCACCCTAAATGAAATAGGGTGATCACACACTGGCGTTTGTGGTAATGCGGTATAGTGGTTAACGTGTCGAGATTATAAGTTGCACTCCCATGTTTCTGGTTCCGCTAGGGCTGCTGATAAGACCTAGACAAGGTCGAAACTGAAATCCACACTGGGTAATAATACCTTTTAGGAAGAGAGGCTATGCAAAATTCAACGGTGACGTAAGGCCAACTCATCCTCGTGGGCAAATTGATCTGCCAGTCCTTTATCATCGCAAGCGAAATAGAGTCTACATATATCTATATTATACTCTAAGTCCTCCTATCTTTTATTAAAAATTGGCATCTATGCTTGAACGGGTCTTTCTTATAGACATTTCCTGCATAATTTCTAGGCTCTTCTTATAGAAAACTTAATGCAAAAAATGATGACTCAAATATTCCTTTCTACTTTATGCATAAAGGTCAGTAATGTAACTCAACGGATTATGGGTATTGATCCATTAGCCTGAGTCATAAAACTTTGATAACCAAGGGCAAATTTCTAGATCTCTTAGTGTTGATTCAACATTGTTTTCGCAATTTGACCGCAGCGTCTGGGAGACTTTGTGGAACGTGATTTACAGCTTCGGAATATTGATTTGGTTTATTCTCAAACGTTTCGCGCATTTCACTTTGGGAATGTATATTTTCAGTGTAACCAAAGAAGAATAGCTCGATGACTGCGCCAGGCTGAATTCCTCAAAAAAACAAAGCTAAAACAGACAAATCAGAATCCGTCATTGTCTTTTGGTCGGGTAGATTCACTAATATCCTTATCATACCCTTCCTTATTTCCCCCCTCCATATAGCATTCTTCGTGCCGGGCACCGTGTTCATGAAAGTGGTGCTGAGCCTAGCGAACCTGCCAATGTGTCGGCTGATTTGGAAGTGCGTCGGACTCTTTCACTTACTAATCTCTCCGAATTCGAAGCAGCTGGTGACGCCGCCAGCAACACTATCAAATCTGCTGTCGATCTCAGTCCTCAACCTCTATCCCCTCATTTATTCTTGAGCCCTTCGGCAAAATATAGCCAAGGCACTCTTCGGAGTTCAGGATCTCCAAAGTTTATAACCGCTTTTCTCCCAAATACATCATGCTGCGATCAGAAGACTGGTTCTCCCGAGGGTTGTACAACAAAATTCAGCTCTATTGTCGATTCGCGCCGATTTGCATACTCTAAGCGGATCTCGGTGCGTTCATACTAGCTTTTCGATTTTTTGATTCCATTACCTATTTCTTGATCTCTTTGATCATTATTGGTTTATTTCCTTTATTATTTTCAATCAACTGGTCGTGGTAGAACAAAATTCTATCAAACGAAAATGCATAATGCTTTTTGGAGCTTCGTATCAAGTTCCAATTCCAATTGTGGAATTTTCACTCCCAGTATTATAATATAGATATTGATAGCTAAAGGTAAAAGATAAGTGGAAAGATAAGGCTTAGCTCACACCTCATCATCACAGGTAGGTATGATTTAAAACATTGCTATGTGTGTAACTGGACACACTTCCTCGACTTGTAACTCTGATAACTACTGTTTCAGCTACAGATAAATGATAATTTCTCTGCTTTCTAACTATTCCGTATTTATTTTTGGTTGTCTGCCTCTATGAGGCAATTGCTTTGTAATTGCATTTCTCTTCCCATCCATTAGCTTCGTAGGAAGGGGCTCTTAATTACGATTACCAGGCTTTGTGTTATTACAAACGATGCGGTTGAGGCCGTAACGGTACGTAAAAAGAAAGAAGATTATATTGTAGTTGTTACAGTTCATTTGAGTAAGTTGTAATAAATCAAGAGAATTACAGCTGGATACCATTCTTGGGTTAATTTCTGGTGATTTTTGCTTTATATAGTTTTCTCGCTTTGTCTATATTTGTTACAGAACAGACGAAAGCTCGGCATTGATTCATTGGGGTACCGTGATAGTGCATCGACGACTTCTACACTCAAACGAAGGCAATCTTCCTTCGGTTTTTCGTAAGGCTAGTTTTGACATCACTCTTATTCGACTTTTCATGCAAAATGAAAGTTCCGATAAATAAATTAGTTATCGAAACCCAGATTTTTATTATAAATACTAAAGAAAACAAACTTTTTATCCACAGTGATGCATTTCTCCTGGCTAAGATTGGATTTGGCTATATTTTTTATCCTAGTCTTTGAAAGGTTACGCAAAAAAATCACCTTGAGTGGAGCATTCACTCGTTCTCGTGATTATCTGAAAACGAAATGTTAAGACCCAGTCCAAACAAATCGACTAAATTTGCTTCCATAGCGAAAATATCTATAAATTGAAGGTCTGCTTAAACTGATAGTAAGCCTTTAGTTTTATGTATCATTATTTCATACAATTATGCTTTATTCTTTATTAATCATCTTGACACCACAGCCATTTATGCTATAGTGTCTCCTCCTTACTAATTTTTACCACATTATTATTAGATTATTCTCTCTGTTCCTTCTCCTCCTATAATTGTACGATTCGACGCCTACTACCTTTCCCTCGTTATCTGATCATCTCTGTGTAATACCTTATTATATATTTCAAATTCGCTTATAGCTGATGCCTACCATTATTTTCCCCATCTACCTTTCGCCTCAAAGCAACTTTACCCAATTGGTCCTGTCATAGCTGACGGTAACCGCACAAAAGCCTTCACTACGGGTGGCATGCCCTACATCGCCAATGCTGTCCGCTTAGGCCAATTTCTTTCCAGTATTCCTGCTTCAACTGGACCCCGCGATCCTAAGCCTGGCGAGATCGTTGTCTACGCGCCGGGGGCGTTCGATTTATTCCGTATCTTTTTTCTTTAAAAGGACAATTTTAATTTCAAGTGCGATAGAGTCTATAAAAATTGATGCCATCCACTTGAGCATTTTGAATAGCTCTGACATTCACATAATGTTGATAGTCTTTCTTCATCTATTTATGAGGCCTTTAACATTATTTGAGGCTTTCCACTGGTTGCCTCAGGCATTAAAAAAGTAAATGAGAGATATTCATACTATTACGTTTGAGCTGATACAGGACAGGTAGTTGGATTTTACCACAATGTTATGACTAGAGCTTACGCTTCCATTGTTAGAACAATCTATCACATTACTTATTTTTTGTTTCTAAGTCTGATTTAGATACTACAATAAGGTAGTGATATGAGATGTATTCACATTATATTGAAAAATTTCTGGCTTACCTT